CACACACACACACACTCATACTATATTATAAAACATTTGACAAAAACTCTTAAAACTCATTTTTTATGCATGAAGTATTGTTTATTGATGCATATTACTTAAAATTCAAGATTACAAATAAATTGTGCGTAAATACAATTTATTAAAGCTTTATGTTTGAATCCGTATAACTAACTGCATATAAACATAATTAAGAGGATAAACATCGCATTTTAAATATAAAAAAAATTAAAATATAATTAGAATAATCATTGAATTCTAACAAAATACTTAATTGTTATCTTTATAAAAAATAGATTATTGAACAAAAAAAAAATGAATCAAAAAATACATTAAAAAATAAAATTTAAATAGTTAGTTTGGTACTAAAATCAATACTTTTTTCAATTCTTTATGATATCTTCATATTTATATCTTGTTCAAAAATAAAAACATTATTACTTTCTCAAAACCATATAAAATTGTATTATAACATCGACCGAGACAAAAAAAACAAAACATTAAAATCGAGATGTATCTCGCTGTATTGTGCGAGTACCTTTCTAATATATATTTGAAGATGTTTATTTGAGAAGTGGTAAACATTTGAGAAGTAAAAGAAGTTATCCTATCCCTTCGTACCATCAAGATTGGTCAAGGTTTATATATCAAGTTGAAGAAAGTGGATTGTATAACCATTAAGAGAGAAAGGATCATTTGCCAAAGAAAACATGTATTTTTTTTAAATGTATTTTAGCTATTAATTGATTATTTAATATGATAAGGGTATAAAATAAAAGATTGAAAAAGGATGGGAAGTAAATTTAAAAACCACTAAATTATTTGAAAGGTTAAAAGTGCAAGTGATTTTCAACTACCATTCTCTTGGTGTGGAATGGTTTATTTCTTACTTTTATCATTTAAACTCCCTAAAGATTTAATGTTTATGATTTTCACCCAAAATATCTAATGGTTTCACTTTAAAAAACTTATGGTTTTACACACACACACACATATATATATATATATATATATATATATATATATATACCTTAAAATTTTCACACTTAGGCCCTACATTTTTATGATTTTATGGGCAACCATACCCCAAAAACTAGGTACGCCCTGAAGGGAAGGGGAGGCTTGCCAGAGGGGAAAGTGGTGGGCGGGAATAAGTTAACTCTTAAAGATAAACATAAATAGAATTAAGATATAAACAAAATTAAAGGTAAAAAGACTAAAGTACCCCCCTTGTTTAACTGGGTTAACAAGATTTTTGTCATTCCGTTAGAGGAAGGGACTCAATAAGCGTGGAAATGTCAACCAAGAGTACCATATCTATATTCATTTTGATGTTCGGACTTGGGACCACTCTGGGTAGAAAGTGTAAACCACATGAACCAAATCCATAATTTACTCTTTTATTTTATTTAAATTTTAACGTCGACTAACATTTTTTAAATAAGATTCAGGCTTGAAACCGACAAATTAAAATTTCAGAGGGTGAGTATGAGGCCGCAAGACATAGAAGGATTTGCAAGCTACGATAACGGAGAATGAGGTTTTATTTTAATGCATTTATATACTAATCTTTTATTATTAAATAACATGAAAAAAAAAGACCAGATTGACTTCGTATTACTAGCAAATGAGGTACATGACAAACTTAACGACCCCACTAAATATTAAATTATTAATCAAGAAGAAAACCGTAAACGAAAATGAAACATTAACAACTATTTTTATAATTTCAAAAAATCAGTAACCATCATCATAATTTATTAATAATATCTATATTATTTTATAAACCATATTTATCAAAAGTCTTAAAAACAAATTTTTAATGCTCAAAGTACTAACATTTATGTACAAAGTCTTAAAAACAACCCATAATAAATTAAGTACTACCACTTTATGCATTCAATCTTAAAATCTTTTAATCTACAATTAAAATAACATATAGTACAAGTTACTAATGCACATCATTATCTCTTTTTTTTTCATGTTCCCAAGGTACTTTTGACATCTTTCACTCATGCCTTCACTCTCTCATACCTCTATGTCTTTTCATCATCCCCAAGGTGAGATTCAAATTGATATTCATCATGAGTTATTAAAAGTTCTCTCATTCATCTCTTATTCTTTGCTTATGGTGTTAATCGAATACATTTGTGGAGTCATTTAAATATGTTGATTTTAAATATATTGAATTTTAAATTGTCATACAATTTTTTTTCATCGTTAAATCTTCTCTAATAAAATCAATGAAACTTCAAAATCATTAAAATTCATGATTTCCACCGCATCATACGAATACACAACTAGTAAATAAAAAATAAAGCGGTAAAAGCTTGAAGATTTATTTGGTACATGTGGTTTTGAAAACCCAAAACAATCCTAAAATATTGCTGCCAAAATCACCGGTAATCATTTTTCCTTTTTTATCGACTGAATCTTGACTTTTCTTTTTTCTTTTTCGTTTTTTCAAAAAGTAATAATAAATAATTATAATTAAAAAAGAAAATTAGATTCGCACGCCAATATTATTTAAGCAACAACTTACAAGCAGTTGACAGTTAC